AGGGTCAAAGAACTAATGATTTAAAGCACATTCCAACCTGTTGATATAGTGTCTGCTTACATGACCCTGACTTCTTCCCAGTTCTTCAAGGGAGGAAGATCCAGTTCAAAGTCAAAGGATTACAGAGCATCCCAAAATCTAAACTTAGGAAGCCTCCCCACCCCCTGCCAGGCTCATTGAGCTGCAGATGATGTAGCCTTGAAAAGCCCTCACATAAAAACCCAGACCTGTGCCTGGAACCTAAACATACCACAGAGGATTCTGCAAGTTAAGCTCGAGAGACATCTAACTGAAGAGAGGAAAATTACCACATTTGTTCCATAATTAAGAAACTCCTTTATGCTGATTTATAACAATGTTTTAATAGAAGCTTTTTTTTTTTTCCTGTAGAATACTCTGGGTTTGTGGAATGCTTCCTGGATGCCAAGACTTGGCTTTGCATTGTAATTAGCAAGATTATTAGCAGGCAATTGCCTTTTGATATTTGATATCACTATAGCATGTGAAACATTGATACACAGTGAAACATTTTCACCTGACCTTTATTCCACATAACTGTAGATATCCCATTCCTGGAAGTGTTCAAGGCCAGGCTGGACAGGGCTTTGAGCAACCTGGCCCAGTGATTTGGCAACCTGGCCCATGGCAGAGGGGCTGGAATGACATGATTTTAAATTTCCACCCCAAACCATTTCATGATTCTGGGGATAGTGAGGACTAAAAAACTTAGTATTCTATCCTGCCATATTCTTATGGCAGGATTGCTTATTTATGAGATTAAATTTTCCTTAAGTCTACATTATTATAAAAAAATCTAAGTTTTCAAATTCATATTTGACGTCATGGATCTACTATTTGAAAGACTCCTACCACAAACACTACCCTATCTTGCTAAGATAATTCAGCCAATCTCTCTGTGCACCAAAATCAAGCTATGTAAACTTTTACATTGTTACTATGAAAGCTTAAAGCTTTTTCTGTTAAGCAATACAGTGTACTGAAACCAGCTTTTCCCTCTAACCCAAAAGATGAATCACAAGCTTAATAATAAAGCCTTATTATAGCAATTTTGCTAGCCTCCAAGTTTCCTCTGCTAGTACATGCAATAGGGTAAAGTGAACTGTAATCAACTGACAATGGCAGAAAATTATCATTTGTATCAGATCACAATTTAAATTGAGATATTAAAATCTCTGCTCAAGCACATTGTAATTTAGGGCCTGATCCCACACACATTTACATATGGAACAGAACTGCAGTGAGTAGTCTTAGTTTTTCCAGAGAAGTTATTAATGTACATAGATGCTTGCAAGAAAAACTTTTACTTCTTCATAAGCCACTAATTAATTCTTGTTAATGGCAATGTTTATTTGAGACAAACCCAATGATGTCTCCAGCTCAACCTCCTCATCTAACCTTCCCTCCTCTCAGCCTGCTGTTTCCATTGCCTCATAAAGATTAACAATTTGGTATGGTAAGAGTAGTGTACTCCTGCTAAAACAGACCTTAAAGCTTATTTATTACACCTGGAGGTAATGCAGAATCCTATTAAATTTGCATTTTTAACACAGACCAGTGTAATTCCCTGGCAAGGTAAGGGATTTTGTCATGAAACAGCCAAAGACAACTGCTCTGAATGGTGTTCCTGGAGCTGCACTCCTAAATGTCTCTTATCCCTCCTCTGTCCATCACTCCCCTGTTAACTCCAGCTCCCAGTCAGCTGCTGCCTGCCTGAAATTCTTTGCCTATCAGGAGAATGGCAGAGCTCACCTTCCTGGGGACAGCCACACCATTTTCAGCTTTTTTGTTTTCCTATCAGCTCTTGTCAGGAGCCACAAATAGAAGCGGCCGACCCTGGCAGACAGGACACACCAGCTGGAGACACACGGCTCTCCAGGCAGAGCCCCAGACAGCCCCATCTTATCACGGGGCCACGGGAACACGTCAGTCAGTGGAGGTTTTATTGGTCATCTCTGGCAGGAAGCAGCTCCTCTGTTCTTAGAAAGATTCCAGAGATGGACAGAGCACCAAACTCCTGCGGAGGGCGATTGTCTGCTCACATCAGGTGACGCATGAGCGTGTCCCCAGCTGGCTGATGCACGTGGAGACGTAAATCACAGTGCTCCTGCAGTGCCACAGCCACCACTGACACGCGTGCCAAGCAGTCATGGAGTGCCTAGGAGCCTCTGACACAACCTAGGGAAGCAGGACTACACGCATATCAAATACACTTAACAGTACAATGTAAAAACTGAGTGCGTGGATGGCAATAATAAAAAGGAATCTCATACAGAGCAAAGAACAGGATCACACAAACTGTGACTTGTGTGACAGCCTTATCAAGAAATGGATTTTCCCCACATCTTCTAAGTCTGTGGGCAAAAGTTTAAACACTTTCAGCAGGTATGAAAACAGACAAGTGTGAGCTTGTTCAAGTCTTTCATGCTATAAATGGGAGTTGCAGTCTCAAGAGAAAAGTTTAGTATACTAAAAAAAAAAAAAAGGCAAGCCACCTGTAGATGCAGCTGATACATCCTGGTCCTAGTATCTGTTGGTTTTGCTGCCTAACTTTATAAACTTTTTTTTTGCTGCCTACTTTATAAACTGAGGAGGATCTAACTCCACCTCCTGTAGAGTTGCAGTCATGTCATATTAAAAACACATCAGACTAAGAGGGAAGAAAACCACTTACTTGAACAGCTGTGTCCCACTTGTATAAACCATATGGTCAGACAATATGCAATGTGAGTAAATAACTATGTGGCTAAAACAAAAACTGCACTCACTTAAATAACAATAAACAAGACGTGCAGCTCAGGTAAAACATTCAAAACAGGACTTGGAGCGACCTCCCATACACAGCCCTTTCCTTTCTCCCTGTGAAGACAAATGAACTCTAAAAAGATAACACTCAGACAACAAACCCAACTAATAAGACTGAATGAACAGCATGAGAAAAGTCTCTAACACTCAGTTCTGGCCCTTCTGAGCTCAAACTGGGTTTACTTTCCTCCATTTCCTTAACAAGCTCATGGTACAAATCACAGTTTCATTTCCCCCAAGTAAGAATTATTTCCATAGCTCTCCCTTCCCTGGTGATCTTCATGCAAGCACTCATAAGGTCAATATTATTACAGAATCTTAAACTGTCATCACAAACAGAAGCTACAATGAGTTTAGACATTCCTCTAGGGAAGGAAAGAACAAAACCAAAAAAATTATACTAGTAAATCCAGTCTTGCAACAGAATAGTCAAAGCATAAAAGCAGCTTATGAGTAAGTAACTAAAACACAAATGAAAGAAGAAAGTAGACCTCACCCCTCCTAAAAAAAGCAAGATTAATGTGGTGCATTCATCAGGACAACAATTCCAAAGCCCTGCTCCATCTGTCCCCTTCTTTATCAGGAGGTCCTAAGGACACTGTTTGCTGCCTGGCCTGAATTATCATTCTCCTTTGTGACTCAAAGGATCTCAGGTGGCCTGATGCTGAAAATATCCTAATCCAGTATCTTCTGTAAATTGAGACCACTACTCACTATGGACAAGAACAAGAAAATAAACAAATAGTTGCTGGTTTTGAACTGCTCAGGGATTATATGGCATCAAGTACTGCTTGAAATACAGCAGCTGTAATAGAGATATGCATTTCCCCAAGCATTCCAGAAACAGGGCAGACAGAGCTCCATGGTGGAGCTGTCTGGGATGGGCTGATGCCTTTCCAGATTGGCACAGACAAAATACGTTAATATCTAGGTGAAAGGTAAGCATTTTTTTAGTTATCTAGCTGTATTTAACTGAAAACCACAGTTAACAAACCATTTCTTACATTCTAGATACTGATTTTCAGCATACAAATAACTCAAATGACCTTTAAAAAAAACCTTTAGTAACGTAGGAAAACAACTATTTCTATTTTCTGCTCTATTCCATATATTCAGGAAGCGGAAGAACAGAGCAGCCCCACAACTATTCCACCTACATTTGGAACATGAAAAATATAACTGTACTCAGGAACTGGACTGGAGACACTTCTCAAAGTCTGAATCTGCAGGGTACATGCTACATATGGACTTTCAGAAAAGATAACTCGGGTTTAATAGAAGTGAAAAACTATGTGGTATTGATTCCGCTGCTGTGTTTTAGTTACCCAGTTACTTTGATTTATTCCAGCACCTTTTTCCATGTTTGCCACCAGCTCTGCCACATTCACCTGGAGCCCGAGTCCCTTTCTGTGCTGTATCTCCCCTGTGCTGAGCTGGGACTGGCTGTGGCAGGCAGTGGTTGCACACAGACCTGGGGATTTCTCCTTATTCTCACCTTTCATCCTGCGTTTTGTGGTTACTCAATTCAGCCAGCTCTGCATTGGTGTTCATTAAACAGAAACTCTGTGAAGGAGCCAGGGTTGCCTCCTACTCCGTGGCACCCATCTTCAAAGGCAATGAATTCACAAAGCATAGTTTTACAGTTATTTAACGCTTCATTAAACCTCTGTTTTGTAAAAAAAGCACAGGGAGTCTTTGTTGTGGTCACAGAGGGCTCAGTGGCATGAGCTGGAGTTGCCAAGAGCCCCTCAGGTCCTCCCTCTGTGGAATGGGCAACACTATCCCCACTCCCAAGGAAGGTCCATGGCACAAAGCCTTAGAACACCTTTGCAGAACCTTTCTGGTGGGTTTTTTGAAAGCAAATACTTTCACCAGTCAATTGAGTACAAAGGACCTTAATTTTCATAACTATCCTTAATGAAAGACAGCCATTGCTATCAAGAGTTAAAAAAAATCCAGATCATTGAAAAAGCATTTAGACCAAAAACTACAAAAATATAGAATTTTCCTAAGTATCACCACCTTTCTTTACTCTTCCCACCTTCAAATCCTTCAGGTACTGAGCAAAGAGAGTATTTTTAATGGGTTGATGGCAGGAAGCACAACCTCCCATCAGTGGTCCAAGGCACATTTGCACAAATGGAGTCATTTCTAGCAGATGAATATCCAGGTTTTACCTTTGCAGGTGAAGCATTTGATGTGGAAGTGTCTGGCTTGAACTCGGAGCACTTCACCTTTACAAGGCTCCCCACATTTGTGGCAGTGGATGACTGGCTTTTCAGAGGGGTGGTGGGGCTCCTGAGGATGGGCCACTGTAAAGGAAACAAACAAAAAATATTTCAGCCCATACAAAAAAAGTATTTTCTTCTATACAAAACTCTGTGTTCTCAGACACTTCACACCACAATACAAATGTATCTGGTCACATTTTATGCTCATCTAAAAAGTTACCACCATTTCATTTAAATATAGTCTTTTCACAAACCAGTAGTTTAAGACATTCACATCAACTACTACTTGTTTCCATTAATGCTGCTACAGAAAGATGAGGAAAAACTCCCTCCACAGTGTCAGTGCCACAAAGTGTTTTAGAATGCCTGCCATTTTCTTTCCAAGAACATGAGTGTGTGCAAACCATTGGATGAGCACACAAGGAAAGTACAAACTAATTTAATCCAGGAAAGTATATAACCCAAGCAAAAAGGATGGAAGGAAAGCAATTCCAAATCAAGTTCTGGGAAACCAGATGAACCAGATAGTCTGTATGCAAATGACTGCACTAAAAATAAACTACAAACCTCTCCTTTTTGCTACAGCAGATACCTAATACAGGGAAAGCACTCTTGAAGAGAAAAGAAGCCAATATTATTTGTTTCTACTCCCATCAATTCTAGCAGAAATTACTTTCTGCATGCAAATTAGAGATACTATGAATAGGCAGAAACTACCCACATATTTGCAATATTGTCAGGGAGACACAATTCCAGGCAGGGGTAATCACCAACCCCACCACCCAGAGCAGAGCTTGGATAGGAACAGGAAAAGTTTGTGGATTTCATTGTCGTAATAAAAGTTTAATTGCTCCACATTTGGCTTCTGTAAAACGTTTAACTTTCTCTTCAGATGTGGCAGCTTGGGGCCCTAACAGAAATGCACGGGTGTAAGCTGGAGCAAGATTTAATCTCAACTGAACTGTTTGAAGTGGAAAGTATTACCCAGAATGTTCCCAAACAAACCTATGTTCCTTCAATTCTCCCTCCCACATCCCATTCTAGCAGTAGGAAGCCTTTCTCCTTGTAATATTGTTCTCAAACTAGTGGTGCTCATCAGAACATTTCAGAGAAAACATACCTCTACCCACGCCTCTGTCTTTATACCACTCCTGTCCTACTTTTCCTGGCCTGCCAAGGACTGAGTGCTGATACATCACTCTCACTGTCACTGGAAAACATCTTCAGAATTTTCTTGAGATCTTTTCCCTTCCTGACCAGTTCCTGGCATCACCCCAGCCAGGACTATGCTGTTTTTCAGGTTACTGCTTATGCAGCTTAACAGATACCTTGCTCATTTTACTGCACCAGATTCCTCCCTTTCTTCAGTGGATTCCTAGGGAAAAAGCTCCATCACTCCTTGAAGTCTTTTTATATTATTCTCCTTTATAAATGCCTTACTGAAGAAATGCTGCTATCATTTTGCATTACATAAATACAAGATTAATAATAAAAAAGCTGAATATGTGATTAGGGGAGTAATAGCATCAAGAATAGAGAATAAAAAATATTCTAAGCAATTTCTGTTGTAAGTCCAGCCAGACTAATATGGTAACTTTTACGCTCTTCTTCCTATCACCACTCACATCTCCAACCCCAAACTTCAAAGAAAATGGTTGAATTCTTCTACTCAAGCTTGAAGTTTTTAATACCTCTTTTTCTGGTAGCCTCACTTAAACTATTTCAGCATTTATTCAGTTATTCAGCCCATCCTGGTCAACAGAATTCAGCTGGTAATGCCAACCAGTATTTCAATTAGCAGCTCCAGTGAAGTAAAAGCTCACTGAATGCCTCACCTTGAGTGAACCTCATCTAATAGTCTGCAATGCAATACTGTTTCTGGAGTGGAAGTTATTATTCTTACAAACAAAACTATTCACTAGCAACCAAGGATATATATAGGAAAAAAAAGAAGGAAATAAAGAATGAATGAAAGACGAACATAGAGATGACTGTTAACTAATTAAAATTAGGAGCAAAATTCCCTCTCAGACCCAGACAGCCTGAGATGGGCCTGATGAAAGCTGAAGTTAACATTGTTGACTTTTAAAGCTGCTCACAAGAGGAAATGGATAAAGAATTTGGAAAAATGCTCTCTAAGCTTTATATGGTGCAATGTGAAATCTGTACCTGCAATACCCTGCTTATTCCACCTTACATGTGTAGGACACTCTGACATTCTGCACACCAGGTTCCAGATCTTCTGGTATTGATCTGTAACACAAGCCTCTGCTCTTTACAGGAGAGTAAATAACTATTTCCAAGGCTGGTCCAATGATGCAGCTTCTTTCCAGTTCTGCCTTTAAAGCCATTTAAATGAATACAAATACTGTTAGTTGCTATTTCCAGACTGATCTCTTAAGTGAAGCTAATTATGGTGCTTGTCTTACTGGCCTCCATTTAGCATTGTAGGTCAAAATTGAATAATTGACTTTCACCCTCCTGTAAGGAATTGCTTGTAAGCTTTTTCCTTTGGATGCACGCAATACACACAAGGCTGTTCAGTGGCAGAGGTGACCTTTCACAGTTACCAGTGAGGACAGAACAGGGAATTAAAAAAAAAAAAAGAAAGAGAAATACCTCAACAAGCAGCTTATTGAAATTTTTCTGACTGAAGTCCAGCCAGCTCACTGGACATGTCAGTTTTAAGCTGCTCTAGGTTTGAAAAGGTCAGAGTCAGGAGCTGGGTTCATCTCCTTGCAGGGATTTCACACCTTGAGAGTCCATATTTCAGGCTCTGCCTGCACCAACCCTCCCCACCACAAATACAGGATATCTTCTCAGGCATCACAGACTGCACATGATGTAATAAGGCAACCGTAGATCATGTCTGAGACAATTACAACAGACTCCAGACAGTACAGTCAGAGACAGGACATGAATTTAGAATCTGGATAACCCAGATTCCTGCTCCACAACAGATACCTCTGTGGATGATATCCCCTAACCCTAAAGGAATAAAGCCATACAGTTAATTCAGCTAAGTCACTGACCCTGGAACCACCAGGGGACCTACCAAGTTACCAATTATTTGAATGTTTTAGTTTCTCTGTGTCTTCAGTGTCTAGGACTGTAAACCAGGTGCAACAGCACTGTCAGCCTCAGCCTACTGTGAGAATAAATCCCATGGTAAGGTTCCCAGGGATGGAAAGAGCCACGTAAGCACTAAGACAGCCAGTCACCTTCCTGCCTCAGTACCAGTGCTCACAATTGTCTACAGAGCAAGGTTCCCAGGGATGGAAAAAGTAGAAATACTAAGACAGCCAGTCACCTTCCTGCCTCAGTACCAGGGCTCACAAAGAAGAACATTTCAAGACAAGCTAGGTTGAGACTTCCACTCAAGACCAGCTTAAATGAATAATCGATGAATAATTAATGCTTTCTTAAACTCATTTAGGCTTCAAATAAGACAAATCAATGTCCCATTAAATATCCAATTTACCATTTACCCAGAGTAACACATACACTGACTGGGTCAACTGGGAAGTCTGGATTACAATGCTCACAATTGTCTACAGAGCACAAAGTGCCCACCCACAGCACGGGTTAAGTATTGGCCAGCTCCAGTTTAAGGATGTGAACTGAAACCTGTCTCCACACAAAGCTGTCACATCCCAGTTCAGCCCAACCATCATGACAGGGTGCATGGATGCTTTTGGGTAAGACTGCTGGGCACTGCCTGAAGACTTTTTTTTTTCCTAATTAATGAATAAAATCTCTGGTCAGAGATACACAAAGAAGAACATTTCAAGACAAGCTAGGTTGAGACTTCCACTCAAGACCAGCTTAAATGAATAATCGATGAATAATTAATGCTTTCTTAAACTCATTTAGGCTTCAAATAAGACAAATCAATGTCCCATTAAATATCCAATTTACCCAGAGTAACACATACACTGACTGGGACAACTGGGAAGTCTGGATTACATAATTTAAGTCAGGGAGAAATAAAAAGAACAGAAAAAAATCAATAGCACCTTCAGTTGTGAGGAAAACAATCCTTGTCACTGGAGTGTTGCTTTGTGCTAACATCACTCTGCAGACATATCACCATTATTTTTGTCATTCCTTATGTTTCCTTGTGAATCAAGCAATGTTGGTTTCATTATGTTTTGCAACTGCACTATATGGATGTAAATTCAAAGCAACTCCAACAGCTTGAGAGTACCTGTTACTGCATTTTATCTAAACATCTCAAAATAATTCCAGACCTGCAAAAAATAATTAAAAACAAAAGGAGATAGAAAAGACCACAACCCAATGTTCATATGAGAAACCAAAGGTATTTTCTGAGCAAAATTAAAGACTTAATTCACTGTGCAAAGTTGAAAACTGTTCTGTTGGGGTGTTTTCTTTACAGCAGATCATTGTCTGAGGGTTTAAAAACAATTATTTTTTGTTGCATCAGCTAGAAATTAGACCTCAGTATTCACAACAAACCTTTCTGAAATGGAAACTACAGCAACTACTTGAAGAGTATGCAGTTGAATAAAGAAAACAATGCAAATAAATACTGCAGCCTTCTTTATTGATGATTCTCTCCCTGAACACAGAACTGTTAGGAAACCAAAGGCAGAAGCTAAGGGATTCTTAGCTGCAGATTCTTGCTGGCAAGACTCCATGTATCTGCAAGCCAGGAAGTACCTTGGCTTTTACTGGAAGTCAGAAAAGCTTCTGGGAAACACCTTGCTATGGGAATGCTGCAAGGTGGAGTCACACCAAAATATTTTTAGTTCAGTTCTACTCTAAACTGCAATTAAAAAAAAAAAAAAAGCATCCTCTAAATTTAAAGATGATGATATGGGCTACTGCTCTTTTCAAAGTGAATTTTTGTCATTTTTCCATTTGCATGGATACCTCCAGAAATAAACCTGAAGCTATGCTCAGTCAACTCTGCCCATGCTGTAGAAGGTGTAACTTCAGGCTTTATGCCAGGATGCAGAATCTCTGTGACTTTTAGCTCCACAAGCTCTGGGCTCTGTGGCACAGCATTGAGAACAGGCTGTGCTCACTGCAGCACAGGCAAGGGGATTCTCAGAATG